AACTCGATAAACACAAGTAAGATAATAAAAAAACACCTATAATCATATAAAACTCATCACAAAACATTAAAATTTAATTATAAGTTTATAGGAATCTTTACCAACACTCAATAACAATAAAAGTTAACATTCAATTTGCAAAACAAAAACAAAATAATATTCACTTTGGTCACTTAGTGCATATCTAATTCAGCCTGACCAATCAAGCCAGTCCAGTGTAATTTTAATAGAGGGTTTATTTGGATTGAACGACCACTAATAAAATAGGAAAAATAACCACAAAATACCGTATGAAAATCAAAAAGACAAAACAGGCATTTAAATAAGTAAAATGACTAAATAGGCATGAAGTACTAATTTGGAATTTGTACTTTTGGCGTAAAAACTGAAATGCCCTGACTGTTTCTGAAGTATATTGCCCTGTCTGAAATAACTCGTACACCCTAAGATTGCTAACATCTAGGAGGTCGTTCAAGTAACGCCAACTGTGATAAACAGGTAGAAAGCTTGAATATTGTTCTTCATGGAACATTTTCGATGGGTCCCCAAAGCTTAAAATGTTATTGTCTAGCATTCCTCTTTCTGGTTTCGTCTCCATTCTTCACATAAAATTGTTTTCAGGAAATGTGAAGCTGCCTGATTTCCTAGTATTATTAAATCATTTGCCCTGAATTTTGCAAAATACATATTGGGATTTACAACTTTCATAGTGAAAGTAACCATTTTGTTAATAGGTTTTGTAACATGTTTTCGGGAGATGGGCAACTTGTTTCTAAAGACCAATACAATTCCATGCTGAATTTTACAAAACACATAATAGGATTTACAACTTTCGTAGTGAAAGTGACCACTTTGTTAATAGGTTTTGCAACCTGTTTTTAGGGGATGGGCAACTTATTTCTAGCAACCAATAAAATTCTATGCTAAATTTTATAAAACACATAGTGGAATTTATAATTTTCGTAATGAAAATGACCACTTCTTCAACGGGTTTTGTAACGTGTTTTCAAGGGATAGGCAACTTGTTTCTAAAAACCAATAAAATTCTATGCCGAATTTTAGAAAACGTACAGTAAAATTTACAACTTTCATAGTGAAAATGACAATTTCTTCAATGGGTTTTGCAACCTGTTTTCAGGGGATGGGCAACCTCTTTCTAAAAACCAATAAAATTCCATGCTGAATTTTACAAAACATATAGTGGGATTTATAACTTTTGTAGTGAAAATAACCACTTCTTCAATGGGTTTTGGAACCTGCTTTTTTTAGAAGTGGGCAACTTGTTTGTAAAAACCCATAAAATTTCACACTGAATTTTACAAAATACATATTAGGATTTACAACTTTCGTAGTGAAAGTGACTGTTTTGTTAATGAGTTTTGCAACCTATTTTTGAGGGATGGGCAACCTGTTTCTAACCACCAATAAAATTTCATGCTGAATTTGACAAAGCACATAGTGAGATTTACAACTTTCATAGTGAAAGTGACCACTTCTTTAATGGGTTTTACAACCTGTGTTCAGGGGATGGGCAACTTGTAAGCATAAATAAACTATTTAGTGAACATATACCTGAAATACATCACAGTAAATATTGAACCATTAACTTTCATAGTTAACTACATGTGTAATGAAATGTACTGTTCACGTAATAATATCTACCAAAAACCAGTTCGCATATGACAGCAGTTACATTATGTAATTGCTTGCCACTATTTTTCTGATTTCTTCTATATTGTTCACCAAATACTGAATATAAACACTCAAACCCAACAATCCTATCCCCATTTCATCATGAAGTAGCCACAAAAATGAACAACCCAAATCTTACCATCAACTTCTACTCACTTACGTAATGCCATAGGTTCACTTCTTCTCTTACTACAAACCCTCTTACCCACAACCAAAACCCACCAAATCAACAATGTCCACAGAATGGTGATGTAGATGAGTAAAATAATAGTATTTTCAAAAACTATCAACTTAAACTTACCTCCAACATTCCTCTTTCCTTCTTCACATGTTTTATTAATGTTTTCTTCTATTTACTTTTTTTCACCTTCAGCTTCTTTTTCACTCACTCCATGGGTATTTTAGTCTTTACGTCAGAAGTGAAAATTTCATATTGATACCTCATACTCATTTGATCATTTTACTTATTTAGATGCCTATTTTATTTTTTTTTAATTTTCATATGGTATTTTATGATATTTTTTCAATAAGCTATTCTATAGGGGACTTGCACATAACTTTTCCAGAAAATATCCTGGAGTCTTGTCGGCGAGATATTGCAGAGACCTTTTTTGTCTTTTTTTGCCAACGAGATATCGCAGAGAGTAAGCTTTATGTACATTTAAAAAGTGGAGTGAAAGCAACAGTCTGGACAAAGTCACATGCGTTGCTTTTCATGAAATTATAGAAAGATGCCGATGGCCGAAACTCGACTTTCTTGGTTGGTGCGCCTATCTTTCTTCTTTTCACACTCTTTTGTTCTTATCATCTTCCATGATTGAACCATTCTTATCGACTTATCGTTACTAATTTTCAACACTTATTTGCAACTTGTAAGTAAAATGTTTTTCAAAAATCCAAATTCTTATTCTGCAAAACATTTATTAATTTATCATGAAATAATTGACTGATAAAATTTAAATTTGTTTTATTTAAAATTTTAGAATAGATGAAAGCAAGCTTTGCATATAATCATATTCTTAGAAATAGTACATCGCAATAATTCTTATAAATTGAATTAGTTTAATAATTTGCATTCAAATTTACTTGTTTAACATAAAAATTGGTTAAAAAATTTTAAATGTATTATTAATTCAGTGCGGTGTTATAACTACAAGTATTTAATAGATGTGAATCAAAATAGTATATTAATGAACTGTATTATCTGCAAGAACTCACTTTAAAAAATTTTCATTACTACAACAAATTTTAGAAAAAATAAAAACAATATTTTATTTAATGATATAAATATAATGTTAAAACAAAAAAATACTATAATGGAAAAACATTTCATACTCATAAATTTATTTATTTTGTTATTTTTCTGATTGTACCAATGTTCATATAAAATGTATATCAGCAAATGTAACTAATGAAAAACAAAATCACTTCATTTGAAACCAACCTACTATAAACGTAATTTATATAAAAAATAAATATAATAACTAAATAACGTGAATATCAAAAAATCATTTAAATTAGTTTTTTATAATAAATGGATGTTATTTGTTTAAAATCTTTTTATTAATCATATATTTTTTATTTAAAAAAGATAAATATTAAAAATATAATTGAAATATTATATATAATATTAAATTAAATCTCCTATTAGTTCTTATATTAAGAATCAATGTGATTTTATTTTCATTTGAATTTTAATACTAAGCAACAATTGAAATATGAGGTCATAAATACGTGACCTTGACCTTTCCAACCAACAAAATAACTACCCCAGAACCAAACGACACGGTACATTAATCACGTCGACCCCTTTATAGGTACATTTTAAAATTCAAAATTCAGAAGATTTCTAGTTAAAGTCTTGAACTTTATGCCTCTCCTCTTGTTATAAGCACTTGTAAGGAAAATTTTTCACCCTAAATATAACTCACTTATATAGCACTATTTTTAGGTTTTAATATAAGATTTCATTAATAAATTTAAAAAATTAAAAAAAATTAATAAATTATTTAATTATAATATATGTTACATGATCTTTTAAAAATATTTATACATATCATCAAATTATATATCAATTTATAAGTGGAGTAATTTAGTTTAGAAAAAATGATAATATAAATATTTTAAAGTAATTTAATACCTTTTTTAATTTTTCTAAATTAGTCAACTAGATGGACTAAAAGTAATATTTAATGATCATTTCCAATTTTATTATTATTTAATTTTCATTAAAAAAAGAGAAAGAGGAGAGACAAGTGAAAATAATTTCTGAATGCAAAGAAAGGAAAAAATCTAATAAGATTAAGTTTAGAAAATTTTATCAATTTAATGCGTTCATTAATACATGAGAATCAGTTACAAGTGACTTACAAGTAGCTTATAATGAGAATCAAAGCTGCAATATTATTTTACCTTTTGTCTCCAAAATAATCTCAAAATTGAAGATTATAATTTAAATATCTTCAACTTAGATAGAATACATCATAATGTTAGCAACTAGTTGCCTAACGGCAACGCCACCTGACGTGTTTGGATGAAATTCAAACTTTAAACTTGGTGTCGACATATGGACACAGTCATGTGTGTTTAATTGTATTATATAAAGAACATATCACAATATTTCTTATTTTAAATTTTAAATAGAATATGAAATGTGAATTATTATTATTATTATTATTATTATTTAATTTAGCAACACATTTAGAAAGCAAATGACACACAAACCATGTTTAGGTTAATAAGGGATTTTTTTTTGGCTACCCGGTTATTAGGGGATTTAAACTTTGAAAAACTAGAAAAAAATTTTATTTAAGGATTACTTTTTTTAATAAAAAGCTATAAAGATTGTTATCAAATTCTATGGACTAAAAATCAAACACATCTCCTTTTCTATTATTTATTTATTTCTTAGTTGAGCTAATTTAGCTTCAACTATTTGTTGAGTTAATGTATAAATTTACTTCAAAAGTTTTCATTTAGAAGCGTTGGTATCCAAAAATTCTTTTAGGAGCAAATTTACTTCAAAAATTTTAAATTATAATAACATTATTTTATATTGTTAAAAACATTAGCAGTCAACCTCGTTATTTTAACAGTCAATGTTAACTTTTTACCTGTATAAAGCAATATTACTGTAATTTTAAACTTTTAAAATAAATTCATTTCTAAAAAATTTTCAAGTACCCAACGTTCATGAACTAAAAATTTTTTAAACAAATTTACACCAAAACCCTGATTTACTTCATAAGATCCTTTTTTGTTTGCATGTTGGTCATGCCCTCTATAAAACCCAACCCATCGCACTTCGAAGTCCACATCAATCTTTGAATATCCATCCCTTTCTTTTCCCTCATTGAAGCATTCCCCCAAACATGTTCAAGGCATCTTCGTCTCTCACCTTTCTTTCCTCTCTCCTCTTCATTTCCGCCATAGCCGCCACGCCCTCAAGCTTCATCAGATCCTCTTGCAGTACCACAACGTACCCTTCAATCTGCGTCGAATCTCTCTCCTCCTACGCCTCCTCCATCCAACAAAATCCTCACCAGCTGGTTCAAACCGCTCTGTCTCTCAGCCTCAACACCACTCTCTCCACCAAATCCTTCGTCTCAAAGCTCAACAAGTTCAGAGGCCTCAAGAACAGAGAGAACCAGGCTCTCCATGACTGCTTGGAAGAGATCGGCGAAAGCGTCGATCGGCTCAGCCGATCCATCAAGGAGCTTAAACTCTGCGTCAAATCCAAGGGTCAGGACTTCCAATGGCACATAAGCAATGTCGAGACGTGGGTGAGCTCTGCGATCACCGATGAAAACACTTGTACAGATGGATTCGCCGGAAAGGCTTTGAATGGCAGAATCAAGAGTTCTATAAGGACCAGAATGCTTCGTGTTGCTCAGGTCACTAGTAATGCTCTCTCCCTCATCAATCACTACGCCTCTAAAGGCTAATCAGAGAATTGTTGATCTCCGTGTGTGGATTTGCTTGTGGATTGAATCTGAAAAGTCGCGTGTGTATGGATCGATCCACATGTTTGTTTAAGAGTGAGAAAACCCGGGAAGAACTGGAGATTTTGTTTTGAGAACCATTTCAGGATGGCTTGTACTTCCCCTTTTTTTGACCAAGTGCTTTGTGTGATTTTGATCAGAGTAAGTTTTTCAGGCCTTTGTTTTAAAAGTAATTTTACATATGCAAATTAGATAGGTATTTTGATTTTATTTATAATATAAAACTTTGTGGCAACTTTGTGGAATTTAAGGACTAAATTAGGCAGAAAGACTGGGAAAAAAAATTAGGCAGAATTGATTTCTTTTACATATATTAACAATATTTTAAAAAAGTTTTAATCGCTGGCACAGGACATCCAATATGGCCATGCCACGTAGTAGAGAGGGGCAAAGAAAAGTTTATCTGCACCCTATACAGGCTGTAGTCATGACAAGAACTTAACGAGCTTGTGATACTAAAATGCGAAAATTTTAAAAGTGATTTTATAATTGGAAAAATTATAAATAAACACATCCAAATATGTAAAATTGTACTTTGGATCCTGAATTTGGAAAATAATAAATAAGGACCTAGTCTCATTTTTATAAATATGAAATATAGGTGAAATGTCTGAAATGCCTCTCAATCAAATGATAAGTTGATTATGACAAATGGCAAATTCATTTTAGCGAATGATAATTTTAATAGACCAAATTACAATTTGGTTGAGAATATGCCAAATGACAAGTTAGCTGTGAAAAATAATAAATTCACTTTAACGAATGACAATTTCATTAGACCAAATTAGAATTTGGTTAAGGGGCATTTTAGACATTTCACCCATATTTTATATTTACAAATGTAAGATTGGGTCCTTATTTGCTATTTTTCAAATTTAGGATCCCAAATTATAATTTTACATATTCAAGGGCTTTACTTGCAATTTTCCCTTTATAATTTGACATAAAATATTTAAAATAAAAAAATTGTAATTGATGCTTCAACTTTTAAGTGTAAAACTGTAAAAGATTAAAAATATCTATTAAACACAATTTATTACCAACTGCTACTTTTGGTATTAAAAGTTAATTTGACATTTTATTGAATCATAAATATAAGATTTTAATTCATTTTATTTCTCATATGCATCTATTTTTTTAAATTAATTTTTAGAATAGTTGTGTATGTTAAAATTTTTATCAAATGATAAATTTTTATCAAACAGTAATTCTAACTAATAATATGATTAACAAGGTATTTTAGAAAAAAAACATATTTATTATAAATAACTAATTTAATAAATTTTTTTAATTTATTCAAATTAGTCAAATAGTTTTTATATTGACGATTACAATTTTTTTTTCACCATTCAACATTTCAGTTGTCGAATACCATTATAATCCTTTTATTCAGTAAAATTTTCAAACAAATATCCAGTCTTTTTTTTTTATACTTTAATAGCAATTGACTACACTTAAAAAGCAAATGACAACAAATTTTTGTAGTAAATATTGATTTGAGATTTTGAAATTCAAGAAGTACTTTTTTTTAGATTTTTCTTTTTATTTATATTTTGAAATATTTTGCCGTTAAAGTGTAATTAAATTAATAAATGGACTCCAAATTCTATGAAAAAAATTAGTACTTCTTTTGGTCATTAATAAAAAAAAATTAATTATTAAAAAAATGACGTGAATGGAAAAAATTAGTTAATCAAATTAGTTAGAAAAAAATTATGAATATGACAAATAAAGTGGATGGAAATATTCTATTTAAGATCAGACACAACTTTCAATTAGCTTTTACAGTAGGGACTAAGAGTATTAGTAATATAATATACTACTTCCGATTCTAAATACAAAATTTAATTTGTAGTGCAAAATATATCTTATATTTAGGACTCAAGGTGCTCTCTTTGATCCTTATTTATAAGGTATTTTCAGCTAATTCTCACATGCCAAGGAATGACAATTGAAACATTAAATCTATCCTAAATTGATAATTTTCTTTAGATTTACCCCAACTTAAATGATGTAGATAGATCAACATAGAGTTCAATGAGCTTTTTAATACTAAACCTTAATTATTAATAAGAATAAAATTAAAAAGTCATACTTAATGAATTGGTTAATAACTTATATTTAGGAGAAATCAACTATCATCAATTATATTTTTAAAAACTTGAAATATCCAATTCGTTCAAAAATGAGTCGAGTATGACATCATAGGATTTGAATATATTCAATTAATGAGATTTGAATAATTTTTTTTATTGAGATTTGGGTATATTGAATTAAATCAGAAGCATCATTGTTAAATGAGATTTCAATTAAAGGCTCAAATGAAGAAATTAATAATTAATTTTCAATTTGAATAATATTTTAATTGGGATTTGAATATATTAAATTAAATAAGAAGCATAATAATTAAATAATATGTCAATTAGAGGCTTAAATGAAGAAATAAATAAATAAATTTAAATTTGCATATTTTTTTCCTAAATTCCGTATCTCTAATTCAAATCAGATTTGAATGAATAAATAAAAAAATCATACTCCTATAAGAAGTGAATCTTAAGCTACCTTAGATAATACAATTTATTAGAATTTAAAATCTAATCAAATATTTTAGTCTGTACATTGCGGGGGAGAAATTTCTAGTTCTTTTTTAAATAAATAATGCTGTACAGTAATAATTATCAAAGGGAGCAGTGTCTTATAGTTTGATGGTCCAACATGAAGAAAATCTTGAAAGATGTAAGATGCTCCTTTAATTATGGCTGTTTTGGCTTTTCAATTATCATATTTTTGTCGTTGAAAATAAAATAAAATAATGGACATTATTTAAATAAAGGGGGAAAAAAATCTTCGATGCTCCTTGTGTCTCGTGATTGAACCGTGTGTGCTGCTAATGAAGACTTCCATGAAACGAATGAATGTTCTCCATTAAGTATCCTTAATTCAAGGCGGGAGTTGCGGTTAGTAAGGATCGCGTGTTAACGTTTTATCCCCCTAACCCCCCACCCCCCCACCGCCCACGCCCCAAGCAAAAAAAGCGGCATCATCCAGGCGTCCAGTATCCTTATTATATAAAGTATTCCTAATACAATAGTCAATTTTCATATTTATGAATATTGATAAATTTTAAAGATTTTTGGTTTTTTAATATTGCTTTTCTAATCCTATTTATAAATCACCTCTAACATATTTAATTTTGAAGATGGTGGACTTGATCTTAAATTTAACATTATCCATATTTTTTATTATAAAAAATTGTTTAGGGAAACGACACTAAAAGAATCTGAAAAATCACAAATCCCCTAATGAGTACCCAATATGCATAATTCCGGAATTCGGAACCTCTCCTCTCCCCTTTCTATCATCTTTCCTCATCTTCTTTTTTTAACTGTTAGATTAACATATTTCAAGGGTTTAGATTTTAATTTTTTTATAAACTATTTATAAAAAAATTTAGTGCACTTGCAAACCATTAGAATTAAATTTTAATATAGTTTGTAATTTATTATTTCTTTATTTTTATAATTTAATATTTTAACAATAGTTTTAAAAAGATTTAAATCTGAATTGTTAAAATATTAATGTAATGATTAAAAAAAGAAGAGAATGGAAGAGGATGGGAAGGGAAGAAGAGAGGCTCTGAACCAAAGCTATACATAGTAAAAAGAAAATTCTCCAGATGTCACATGGTGGGAATTATTCCCCCAAATGCTATAGTTAAACTTGGTTATGGCTTGAATAACTTTTAGAATTCATCTAAGCAAGAACTATTTCTTCAATGAGCATCATTTGACATGTAATTGAATTTCATCTTAGTGTGAACAATTTTTAAACTTTATCAATCTTTGAACAACTTCTTTATAATCTCTTACCATACAAATACCCCTACAATGATTTTAATAATGCTCATATCATATCATTACAATATAATCTCAAGATAAAACAATTCATGCCCGCTTAATTAACAAATTTATCAAAACATAAATTTCATATTTTTATTTCACACTTTTTATACACAAAACATTAACATATAATTATAATATCAACATATGCTTATAATCACATCAACAAGCATAGAAGGTAAATTAGAAAGTAGTTACCTCAAGTTCTTGACACAAGAACTAAATTGAGAGAATTCAAGACCCAAGAGCCCAAAACAAGCTCACTCTATAATAATAAATTTATAAACATATATTAATAAAAAAATAATTAATATAACATTAAATAGTTACTAGTTAAATCCCCATAATTTGCTCACTTAAAATTCTAATTCGTCTATTCCTCCAAATAACAATTCCTAAAACTTCTAAAATCTATTTTACTTATTAAAATTATTAACAAGGATAACTCCTTCCAATAATAAAAAAATCCCCAAAAAGTTCTTACTTTAATTTTTAGGAAAATAACCATATATATATATTAAATATGTCTTAAATCATCCTTACATTCCTACTATCTTCTTTCACTAATCATTTCCCACTCATTAGAATCATTAAATTATAATATTTTTTCTAATTTATTCAAAATACCCAACTTCTACTAATTAAAGTTGACTTCTATTTGCACTAGTATTAGTTATCCCCAATCTCGTTTTACCATACACCTTATATATTGACGCGCCTTTGATAGGTTTAAGGAGTGTAATGCAAGAAAGAAAGTTTGTTACTTATGCTTCTAGACAATTGAGACCACATGAGGAGAATTACCCAACTCATGATTTAGAATTGGCAGCAGTAGTTTTTGCACTGAGGATTTGGAGGCACTATCTTTACGATTCATAGTTTGATGTTTATAGTGACCATAAGAGTTTGAAGCATCTTGTGGATCAAAAGGAGCTCAATTATCAACATAAAAGGTGGATGTAGTTCTTCAAAGACTATGATTTCTAACTGAAATATCTTGTTAATGACACTTTGAGTAGAAAGCTGTTCATGTATTTCAGTTGAGTGTTAGAGAGGTTAAAGGACACTGATATGTTAACTGATATGAATATTATCTTGCAGGCCATGTGAGTTTAGAATGAATTCTGGAAGGAGATCAAGAGAGCTCAGCTGGAAGATGACTATTTATTAAAGATTAGGAAAGAATTAGAAGAAGGAGAAGCAAGTGATTTTAAAGTTTACAAAGATGGTATTTTGAGATTCAAAGATAGAGTTTGCATCCCTAATAATG